CTGAACCCAGCCTGGACTTCTGGTAGTTCTCTGTTGATGTGCTGTTCCAGTCGTTTTTGGATAATCTTCAGTAAAAAAAAATTTACCCTTGAATTAACAGTGAAAATCTCCATAGACTATGTTCCAGAGCTTAAATATTGCTAACAGACACTCAATAAGAGACAAATTGTTTTTTAAAAAAAGTTTATCATTAAGATAGTTTTAAAATTTTCTTTATCAAACAATATTACTAAGATCATGCTGCTTAAAAGGAAAATAGCAGTTACTTACTCCTCTCTTGTGGCAATGTACACTGGATCTGCATTGATCATAATTAAGAAAGAAACGAATTTCTTTACAATTAAATCTGTTACAAAACTAAAAGAAAAAGTGAAAGTAAAGTCAGTCAAACAATCAAATTGTGCACACAGATAATACACTGCAAATAATCAAGAAAACCACAAATGTCATATTATTCAGAAATGGTAATTATGAGAATTACTGTGACTAGTTGAAATAAAGGAGAAATAAACTATTATCTTGGGCTATGTATTCTCTAAATGAGTAAAATCAACAATGCTAAACTGACATGTAACTATGTGAGTACGTATTTGCTGTGATGATGGAAGTTGTTATTTCAAATATGAGCAGGGTTACCATAGTGAAAACATTTTAGCAGAGCTTTCAGAATAAGACAGACTAAGAAGCAGGATTGGCCATTAATTTATGAACTAACATTGTTACAGAAACAAAAGTGAAGTCCTTTATATTAGAAGGCACTTAAAAAAAAGATAAATCTCCACTAATAACTGGGATATAAATTATATGAAATAAAAGAGTGATGTGTAGAGAGTGAGCAGGAAAGTAGGAATTTGAGTGAGAGCTATTATTAAAATAAGTAGTTTGGGAGCCAATGGAGAAGCAAACCATGGGTTCCAGAGGCTGAGTCATGGTGGGAGCAGCCAGCCAAGCTGCAGTGAGAACCACTCACCAGGAGAAAACAGGACAGTGGGAATTTGACTAAGTTTTCTCAAGCCCTGCTGGACTCAGAGGCCTGTCAGACCCTGATTTTTGCTTGGGGAGAGTTTCTGGACAGCTGGAATTTGAGTGTGGACACCTGGTGAGCCCACCTGGACAGCTGGAATCTGAGTGAGGTCTCTGTGAGTGCCTACCCCACCCCAATGTCTTCCCAGTGTGCATACTGCCCATACTTGCACCTCCCAGTCAAGTAAACTGTTGTTGTTATGTGCTGTTGAGTCGTTTTTGACTCATAGCAACCCTATGTACAATAGCCCTAAACCCTGTTCTACCCTGTGCCAATCACATTGCCTCTGACACACCCAATTTGCCTATAATCCAAAGCGCTTGATCTGACTTAGCTGCAACAAGAAGCTGCTCTCACAGATCCTGAAATGAATCTCCCAATAGGGTCAGAAGTTCAGAGAGAAACATTAGAGCAGTGACTTCATATCAAGACTCTATCATCATGTCAAGTATAAAAAAAACTCTACCACAGCAATGTCACATAAGAAATAGGCTACCTTACACAAGCACAAAGTAAGAAGTCACTCACAAAAGGTGACACAGTATCAATTGATTTCCTGAAGTCAGAAAGTCTAACGGAACTTTCTGATATAGAATTTAAAGGAACAATGAGTGAATATTTTCAATGGGTGAAAGACAAACTGCAAGAATACAGGACACTGCAAGCAAAAACTAGGAGGAGCTTAAAAAAATGCATATAAAACAAATGTGGCATTAGAGGCTCTAGAAAAACAAAAAACCCACAATACAGAACATGAAGTACAATGTTTCAGATGCTGTCAACATGATGGAGGGACACAAGATCAGAGTTGAGATGGATACATAACCAGTGAAATAGAAGATAGAATTGTCATCATTGATCTGCTAGAGCAAAAAGCACAATCAAAAAGAAAGTAAAAAGAAGAAAACCTAAGAATAATGTGGAACACCATCAAGAGAAATAACATGGGTATCATTGGAATCTCAGAATAGAAAGAAGGAAGTAAAGGCACCAAAAAGTTGTGGAAGAATTACTAGAAGGAAATGTCCCAGGCATAATGAAGAGAGAATACATATTCAAGAAGCTGAACAAACACCATACAGAATAGACACTAAAAGAAAAACAGCAAGGCATATTATACTCATATTTGCCAGAACCAGAGATAAGAGAGAATTCTGAGAGCTGCCAGGGAGAAACAAAGAG